GTGTGTAGTTTAGGGGCTGAGTTTTGAATAATCTGATGGTAGGATTCTTTTAAAATAAACATTCTGTGGGCACCTGGGTGGCTCAGTCAGTTAAGCATCTGACTCTAGATCTCAGCTCAGGTGTTGATCTCAGGGTTGTGAGTTCAAGCTGCGCGTTGGGCTCCAGGCTGGGTGTGGAGACCACTTAAAAAAATAATTGTAATAAAAATTTTAAAATAAATAAAATAAACATTCTGGCTTTGATAGGCATTTAGTTGGAAAACTTTGTAATGTCTTTTCTGTTCCTAAAGTGGACAAGACTTTGTTAGGAATAAGTGTGTGCAAGTTTAATTAAACTTCAGTGTAATCATGCACAAACACATGTTTGATATACCAGTATATAAATCAGTTTAAGTTTATGCTAAAAGGATTCCCATTTGAGAACTCTTACTATATAATATCAAGGCAGAAGATAGGAAACTTTGTTTTGGAATCTTAAAAAAGATACAATACTTACATTTAAAGGAATAATTTGTATTTTATTCTGTAAATATATTAGTAGCTCATAAGTTTTCATAATATGTTTTTTTTTCTTTTAGTTTCCTCCCTCAGGGAACAAATCTGAATTTCATGATGTGAAAATACTGATTGCATTTATAAGCCACAAAGACTTTATAGATATGAAGCAGGTAAATTAGTAATTACATATTAGACAAAGTTTATACATAGTACAATTCTTTACTTTTAACCACTGGTATTTAATTTAAATTATATATGCTCCATTTGCTAACAAGAAGCTATAAAGGCCTATCAAGTCTTTGTTTGAGAAGTGTTCACCTCTCAGCACAGGGTATTTCTGAGCCCTGACTTTAGAAAGGATCTTTATTTGTTTTGACTTCTTTAACAGTCTCTGTTATGTCATTTATCTTATCCTTAAATCTCTGAACAGGATATGCCTAGGTGAAACATCAAACTTTGAGGATTTAATAAACCAAAGCATAGTCTCGTAATTCTGACAAGAGAATATATCATGTAGTCAAAAAGGATTCTAGTGTTCTTGACTCTGTCTTATCCGTTTCAGAGTGAAATTGTAATAGTGCTGCCATACACTGGAAGAGAAAGAAAACTAATTCTGGTTTTTTTGTTTGTCTTTCAGACTCTTGGAGATAACATTACTGTAAAAATGTATTCTCCATCATGGCCTAACTTTGACTATACTATGGTGGTTATTTTTGTAATTGCTGTGTTCACTGTGGCATTAGGAGGATACTGGAGTGGACTAATTGAATTGTAAGTTTAATTAAACTTCAGTGTTTCTGTGATAAGTGGCTAAAAAATTATTGTCTAATACTCAGTTTAATCATGTAACAATAATTAAAATATACCTGACCTCAGAATATAGTGCTGTTACGATCAGATTGCAGGTTTGTCCTGCTGTAGGTCATTTAACTTCTCACTGAGAAGAGTTAGCTTCTGCTAACTCTCCTGCTGGGGGCTAAGATTCCATATTTTAAAGAAGCTCCCAAGTGTTTTTGCTGGCCCACAGACCACACTTTGAGTTAGCCAGGCAAGCTTTGTATACATGTCAGGGCAAGCTCCTCCTTTAGAAAACTGGAGATGGGAGAGGAGTACATATAAGCTTTTTTACTCATAAAACACGATGATGGACAAAGACAGAGAATGTGTTACTTTCATAGCCAAGTTGGAAGAGAAGGAGTTCTTTACCTGCAGGAATACGGAATTTAAAATATTTTAATTCCAGTATAGTTAACATATTGTATTATATTGGTTTTAGGTGTACAATACAGTTCAGTGCATTACTTAGTGCTCATCAAGATAAACGTACTCGTGGGGTGCCTGGGTGGCTCAGTGGGTTAAAGCCTCTGTCTTCAGCTCAGGTCATGATCTCAGGGTCCTGGGATTGAGCCCTGCAGCGGGCTCTCCACTCAGCAGGGAGCCTGCTTCCTCCTCTTTCTCTGCCTGCCTCTCTGCCTACTTGTGATCTCTGTCTGTCAAATAAATAAATAAAATCTTAAAAAAAAAAAAAAAGATAAATGTACTCTTAATCCCCATTATCTGTTTTGCCCATCCCTGTGCCTTCCTCCCCTCTGGCAACCACCAGTTTGCCACAGTATTTACAAGCCTGGGTTTTTTTGTGTTTTTTGTTTTGTTTTGTTTTGTTTTGTTTTTACTTTGTTACAAGTTTGCCACAGTATTTACAAGCCTGTTTTTTTTTTCTTTTTTTACTTTGTTCATTTGTTTCTTAAAATTTCATGTATGAGTGTAATTATATGGTATCTGTCTTTTTCTGACTTATTTCATTTAACATTATACTCTCTAGGATCCATCCATATTGTTGCAGATGGCAATATCATTCATTTTTAGGGATAAGTAATATCCTATCCTAGTGTGTGTGTGTGTGTGTGTGTGTATACGTATATATATATGTATATATACACACCACTTTTTCTTTATCCATTCATCTGTGGATGGAAACTGAGGTTGATTGCATCCATGTCTTGGCTAGTGTGAATAATGCTATAATAGACACTTTAAAAATAAGTGTTTTAATTTTGTTTGGATAATTTCTGGATCATATGGTAATTCTATTTTTAATTTTCTTTAAAGATTTTATTTATTTATTTGAGAGCAGAGGCAAGAGACAGAGAGAGTGAGCATGAGTGGGGGGGGGGTTGGGTAAGGTCCTGTGTCCATCTAGGACCCTGAGATTATGACTTGAGCCAAAGGCAGACGCTTAACTGACCGAGCCACCCAAGCACCCCTCTATTTTTCAATTTTTTAAGGAAACTTCATATTATTTTCCACAGTGGTTGCAACAATTTGCATTTCCACCGACACTGCACAAGCATTCGTTTTTCTCCACATCCTCATCAAACTTGATATTTCTTGTCTTTTGATCTAACCCTTCTGACAGATGTAAGGTTGACATTTTGAGTTTATTTTTGTGTATGGTGTGAGAGAATGGCCCTGTTTTATTCTTTTCCATGCAGCTGTTCAGTTTTTCTGGCACCGTTTGTTGAGGAGACTTTTTCTCATTGCATATTCTTGCCTCCTTTGTCAAGGGTTAATGGACCATGTAATTGTGGATATATTTCTGGGCTCTCTCTTCTGTTGATCTATGTGTCCTCTTTTGTGCCAGCACCATACTGTTCTGATTACTATAGTTTTATAATATATCTTCAAATCTAAGATTATGATATCTTCAATTTTGTTCTTTTTCAAGATTGCTTTGCCTATTCAGGGTCTTGTGTGATTCCATACAAATTTTAGGATTGTTTGTTCTAGTTCTGTGAAGAATGTTGGTGATATTTTGATAGGAATTACACAAAATCTGTTCATTGCTTTGGGTGGTATGTACATTTTAAAATATTTTTTCTTCTAATCCATGAGCATGGAATATCTTCCCATTTGTTTGTGTTGTCCTCAATTTCGTTTATCATTGTTTTATAGTTTTCAGAGTATAGGTTTTTGACCTTTTTGGTTAAGTGTATTGCCAGGTATTTTATTATTTTTGGTATAATTGTAAGTGGAACTGTTTTCTTAATTTCTCTTTCTACTACTTCATTTTTTTTTTTTAGAGATTTTATTTATTTGAGAGAGAGAGTGCATAGGGAGAAGCAGAGAGGGAGAGAGAGGAACAAGCAGACTCCATGCTGAGATTAGAGCTTGATGGGAGGCCCAGTCTCAGGACCCTGAGATCATGACCTGAGCCAAAACCAAGTGTTGGATGCTTAACCAATTGAGCCATCCAGGCACCCCCTCTGCTACTTCATTATTAGTATATAGAAATGCAGTGGATTTCTGTAAATTGGTTTTGTATCCTGTGACCTTAACTGAATTCATTTATCAGTACTAATAGTTTTTCAGTGGAGTCTTCAGGATTTTTTATATATAGTATCATGTCATCTGCAAATAGTGAAAGTTTTACTTCCTCCTTACCAATTTGGATACCTTTTACTACTTTTTCTTGCTTGACTGCTGTGGCTAGGACTTCCAGTACTATTTTGAATAAAAATAGTGAAAGTGGACATCTTTGTCTTGTTCCTGACCTTAGGGGAAAGGCTTTCAGTTTTTCACCATCAAGTATGATTATGGCCTTGATTATGTTGAGGTATGTTCCCTCCAAACCTACCTTGCTGAGAGTTTTTATCACAAATGGATGTTGTACTTTGTCAAATGCTTTTTCTGTGTCTATTGATCATATAGTTCTTATCCTTTCTCTTACTGATGTGATGTGTCATGTTGATTGATTTGCAAATATTAAACTGCCCTTGCATCCTGGAGATAAATCCCACTTGATCATGGTGAATGATTTTTTTTGAAATTTATTGTTGGATTTGGTTTGCTAATATTTCATTGAGGATTTTTGCATTTATGTTCATCAGAGATACTGGCCTGTAGTTCTCTTTTTTTTAATAGAGTCTTTACCTGGTTTTGGTATCATAGGCTGAATTTGGAAGCTTTCCTTCCTCTTCTGTTTTTTGGAATAGTTTGAGAAGAATGGATATTTACTCCTCTTTAAATATTTGGTAGAGTTCACCTGTGAAGCCTTCTGTCCTGGACATTTGTTTGTTGGGAATTTTTTGATCACTGATTCAATTTCATTGCTGGTAATCAGTCTGTTCAGATTTTCCCTTCCTGATTCAGTTATGGGAGGTTATATGTTTCTAGGAATTTATCCATTTCTTCTCGGTTGTCCAGTTTGTTGCCATGTAATTTTTTATGGTATTCTCTTACAATCCTTTGTATTTCTGTGGTGTTGGTTGTTACTTTTACTCTTTCATTTGTGATTTTGTTTGAGTTCTTGCTCTCTTTTTTATGAGTCTGACTAAAGATTTACCAATTTTGTTGGTCTTTCCAAAGAACCAGCCCCTGGTTTCTTTAATCTATTCTATTGGGGTTTTTTTAGTTTCTGTTTCCTTTATTTCTGTTTTGATCTTTATGATTTCCTTCCTTCTGCTGGTTTTTGGTTTGTGTCTTCTTTTCCTAACTTCGTTAGGTTTAAGGTTGTTTGAGATCTCTCCTGCTTCTTGAAGCAGCCTGTATTGCTATAAACTGCCCTCATAGAACAACTTTTTTTTTTTTTAATTTATTTTTTTGACAGATCACAAGTAGGCAGAGAGGCAGGCAGAGAGAGAGGAAGGAAAGCAGGCTCCCTGCAGAGCAGAGAGCCCGATGTGGGGCTCGATCCCAGAACCCTGGGATCATGACCTGAGCCGAAGGCAGAGGCTTTAACCCACTGAGCCACCCAGGCGCCCCCTCATAGAACAACTTTTGATGCATCCCAATGATTTCAGACCGTTCTGTTTTCATTTTCATTTGTTTCCATGTAATTTTTTATTTTTTCTTTGATTTCTTAGATGACCCATTTGTTGTTTAGTAGCATGTTCTTTAAGCTCCATGTTATTTGTGGTCTTTCCAGATTTTTTCTTGTGGTTGATTTCCGGTTTCATAGCTTTGTGGTCAGAAAAGATGTGTGTGATATGACTACGATCTTTTTGAATTTATTGAGACTCATGGCCTAATATGTAATCTCTTCTGGAGAATGTTCCATGTGCACCTGAAAAGAATGTGTATTCTGCTCTTTTAGGATGGAATGTTCTGAATATATCTGTTAAATCCATCTGATTCAGTGCATCATTCAAAGCCACTGTTTCCTTGTTGATTTCGTGTTTGGATGATCTGTCCTATGATTAATTGGGATGTTAAAGTCCCCTGCTATTACATATTACTATCACTTATTTATATTTGTTTTTAACTATTTTATGTATTTGGGTGCTTCCATATTGGCCTCATAAATATGTACAATTGTTACAGCTTATTACTGAATCCCCTTTATTACTATAGAATGTCCTTCTTTGTCTCTTGTTACAGTCGTTATTTTAAAGTCCATTTTTATTGCTATCCTGGCTCTCTTTTCATACCATTTGCATGATAAATGGTTTTTCTTCCCTTCGCTTTCAATCTGTGTGTATCTTTAGGTCTGAAATGAGTCTCTTGTTAGGCAGCATATAGATGGATCTTGTTTTTTTTTTTTAAAGATTTTATTTATTTGTCAGAGAGAGAGAGAGAGAGAGAGAGCGAGCGAGCACAGGCAGACAGAGTGGCAGGCAGAGGGAGAAGCTGGCTCCCCACAGAACAAGGAGCCCGATGTGGGACTCGATCCCAGGACGCTGGGATCATGACCTGAGCCGAAGGCAGCGGCTTAACCAACTGAGCCACCCAGGCGTCCCAGATCTTGTTTTTTTAATCCTTTCTCTCACCCTGTGTCTTTTGATTGGAGCATTTCATCCATTTACATACAAAGTAATTATCCATAGACATGTACTTAATGTCATTTTGTTACTTGTTTTATTTTTGTTGTTGTTCTTTTTCTAGTTCTCTATTTCTCCTCTTGCTCTCTACTCTCACAATTAGTTGGCTTTCTTTAGAGATACACTTGGATTCCTTTCTCTTTATATTTTGCATATATTTCACTGGTTTTTGATTTATGGTTACCATTAGGTTTGTATACAACATCTGCATATAGCAGTCTATATTGAGTTGATGGTTGCTTAACTTTGAGCTTACTCTTTACTCCTCTCTCTGTTTCCCCTGTTTTAGGTATGTGGTATCATACTTTACATCTTTTTATTTTGTGTCTTGACTGATATTTTTATATATACTTATTTTTATTGCTCTTGTGCTTCCTACTTTTCTTCTACTTATGGTCTTTCCTTTCCACTCAAAGAGTCCCCTTTAACATTTCTTGTAGAGCAGGTTTAGTGGTGATGAATTCCTTTAGCTTTTGTTTGGGAACTTCTTTCTCTTTCCTCCTATCCTGAATGATGGCCTTGCTGGACAGAGTATTCTTGGCTGCACAGTTTTTCCTTTCAGTACTCTGAATATATCATGTCACCCATTTCTGGCCTGCAGAATTTCTGTTGAAAAATCAGCTGATAGGGGTGCCTGGGTGGCTCAGTTGTTAAGCATCTGCCTTTGGCTCTGGTCATGATTCCAGAGTCCTGGAATCAAGCCCCACTTCAGGCTCCCTGCTCAGCAGGAAGCCTGCTTCTCCCTCTCCCACTCCCCCTGCTTGTGTTCCCTCTCTCACTGTGTCTCTCTTTGTCAAATAAATAAACAAAGTCTTAAAAAAAAAAAAAAAAATCAGCTGATAACCTTACGGAGTTTTCCTTATATGTAACTGTTTTCTCTTGCTCTTTTATTTTTTTTTTAAGATTTTATTTATTTATTTGACAGACAGAGATCACAAGTAGGCCAAGAGTCAGGCAGGTGGGGGGGAAGCAGGCTTCCCGCTAAGCAGAGAGCCTGATGTGGGTCTCGATCCCAGGACCCTGGGATCATGACTGGAGCCAAAGGCAGAGGCTCTAATCCACTGAGCCACTCAGGAGCCCCTCTTGCTGCTTTTAAAATTCTCTCTTTCAGGATTATGGATTTTGAAATTGAGGTGACTGATTCTAAAAATAGGATAAAGATAGAACTAAGTGTATGTGTGGAGATGGTTGGGGCAGGATATATATATAATCCTGCCCCAAAGAGTGGTGCCGCGGTGGCTGAGAGAAAGCATGCATGTGGGGGGATGGGGGAACAGGAAGAGGGAGAAGCAAACTGCTTACTAAAGCTGGACTTGGGGCTCTATCCCAGGACTCCAGGATCACAACCTGAGCCAAAGGCAGCTGCTTAACAACTGAGCCACCTGAGTGTCCCAGTAAATAGGAGGGACACCTGAGTAGCTCAGTTGGTTAAGCGTCTGCCTTTGGCTCGGGTCATGATCCCAGGGTCTTGGGATCAAGTCCTACATTGGGCTCCTTGCTCAGCTGGGAGTCTGCTTCTTCCTCTGCCTTCCGCTCTCCCTGCTTGTGCTCTCTCTCTTTCTCTGTCAAATAAATAAAACTCTTAAAAAAAAAAAAAAAGAAAGTAAGAAAGAAAAAGAGAAGGGGAAAGAGAATAAGGCTTAGGAAAGGGAAAATTTGCCAGAACCAGAACTCATATAACTCAGAATTACCCTGCCAAATGAAAAATGTACCTTATGCAAAAGGGAAAGATGTCTTAGTTTCATAGAAAACTTCTTAATAGAAAGTTAAAATCTTACTATAATGAAATCATTGGTCCTCAAGCTTCATAAACTCAAGATAGCATGAAAGAAAGCTTAGCTTTCCAGAGCTACCCTACGGCCCAGCAATCGCACTACTGGGTATTTACCCTAAAGATACAAATGTAGTGATCCAAAGGGGCTCGTGCACCTGAATGTTTATAGCAGCAATGTGCATAATAGCCAAACTATGGAAAGAACCTAGATGTCCATCAACAGATGAATGAGTAAAGAAGATGTGGTATATATATACAATGGAATGCTATGTAGCCATCAAAAGAAATGAAATCTTGCTATTTGCAATGATATGGATGGAACTAGAGGGTATTATGCTGAGCGAAATAAGTCAATCAGAGAAAGAATTATCATATGATCTCCCTGATATATGAGGAATTTGAAAGGCAAAGTGGGGGGTTTGGGAGGTAGGGAAGGAAAAAAATGAAAGAAGATGGGATCGGGAGGGAGACCATAAGAGACTCTTAATCTCACAAAACAAACTGAGGGTTGCCCGGGGGAGGGGGATAGGGAGAGGGTGGGAGGGTTATGGTGAGTGCTGTGAAGTGTGTAAGCATGATGATTCACTGGGGCAAATAATACATTATATGTTAATAAAAAATGAAAAAAGAAAACTTAGCTTTCCATTTTATGTGGCTCTTGAGCTGATTAGAGGTACAGTGTTTTAAAAAGATGATTATAGTATTTTTATGTGATATAAATCTAGTACATTTCCTTTCCAAAAATTGCCCGTGCTTCTTCCTTTGCCAGATCTATCTTTTCCTTTATTTATTTTTTAAAAGTTTTTATTTATTTACATGAGAGAGTATAAGCAGGGGGAGCAGCAGAGGCAGAGGGAGAAGAAGGCTCCCCACTGAGCAGGGATCATGACCTGAGCCAAAGGCAGATGCATAACCAGCTGAGCCAGTCAGGCGCCCTTATCTTTTCCTTTAGAGAAATCTACCTGGAAAACTGGTGTACTAAATAAGAATATATAAATCTTTCATTATGACCTATATGAATTTATAAATTTTTCACTATAATAAAAATGGTTTTATTGTTTTTATTTTTTAAAGATTTTATTTATTTATTTGAGAGTGAGAATGAGAGAGAGCATGAGAGGGGAGACGTCAGAGGGAGAAGCAGACTGCCTGCCGAGCAGGGAGCCCAATGTGGGACTCGATTCTGGGACTCCAGGATCATGACCTGAGCCGAAGGCAGTTGCTTAACCAACTGAGCCACCCTGCACCCCATAATAAAAATAATTTTAAATGTATCTGTTTGCAGTGACAGATACCAAAAGTTGGCACCTTTTTCCACTCAGATACTACTTTCATTGACACTTCTGTTTAATATTCTATCATCCAGCTCTGCAGTTGCTGGAATGTGCTAGTGTGACTGTCCCCAAGCCCTCTCCATGCTCTTTGCCCAGACAGCCTCCCTACAGTCAGAGATGCTTAATATAGTGACCATCCCATTTAACAATTTTCTAGTAAGAAAGTGGTATGTTGGTAAATAAGCAGTCTGGCAAATGTACAGTTTGATAGTAATAAACTTTTTTTAACCTAAAGTTTGTATTAAGTCCAGACCTGATGAGAAAGTCAAGGTGTATGCCATGGGAAGGAGAATTTAGTTGGTCAGAGTTGAAGGGACTGGAGGTAGAAGAGTATGTAGTAGGCTCCATGTAGCTGGGAGGAGACAATAAGATGACAGAACAGAGACTGCTCAACAAAGAACACTACTGACTCTTTCCTCTTCAACTTTTGTCTCGACCTTTTATTAGCTGTGTGACTTAAGAAGGGTTGTTGAGAGAATTAAAAACAGTATTTTGCTATCTTAACTCAAGGTAGATAAAGCTATGTCTTGAACTTCTTTTGAATCCTTCATAATACACTTGATAAGCACAGAACAGGCATCCAGTTAGTGCTGAGTTGATTGAAAGAATTTTGTGTTTACATGTAAGAAAAGCTAATTTTAGGAGTACTTTGCTCTCTGTAAGTTGGTAATAAGTGTGTAAAAAGAAACTGGTTGTGATCTGAAATTCGTTACATCAATATAAGTTTTCAAATTAGATCATATAAACATCTGCAGACATTATTTATATGATAAACATTCTCTATTTCAACAATTTCACTTCCAGAAGAAAATGCTTTTTCAAAAGTTCATAGTTAATAACAGATCATTTCTGGAGGGTAGAATTAGAGGGACCTTTTACTTTATAGATTAAGTTATTTTCTGTTATGTGTGCTGTTTTTTTAAAGTATATTACTTTGTAGTCAGAAACAAATTTAAGTTGATGTTGGAGATAGATTTTCAAAATAACCGTTCTTGGCAGAGATTTGCTGAAGTTCCTGTGTGTGTTTATACAGGGAGAGCATGAAGGCAGTGACAAACACTGAAGACAGAGAAATGAGGAGAAAGAAGGAAGAATATTTAACTTTTAGTCCTCTGACAGTTGTAATATTTGTGGTCGTGTGCTGTGTTATGATGGTCTTACTTTATTTCTTCTACAAATGGCTGGGTAAGAAGTCATACTTATTATTTGCTACTTTCAGTCTACAAGCTTTTCATTTATTTTATTAGATTGAAGGTATACCCAGAAAGCTTAAACAAATGATTGAAAAGTAATGTTAACTCTCTAAACTGTCAGAAGTGCTAGATCCCCCTCACTCTAGGATAAAAAATATAAAAATATTCAGATTAAAAATATCCTGTGTCTTTGAGATAAGAACACTTCTTCATGGATGACTTGAAAGAACTACTGTGGCCCCTAAATTTCCATCTCTGCAGATAAAGCTGGAGAGCCCCGTATCTAAGCAGCAGACTAAGGACTTCTTGGTGACGGTATTTAGTTACACGAAATAGATTATTCAAATTACTAATTTATTGCCTCTGCTTATCCCTGAAGTGTGCTTTGTTCTTTCGTCAGGGTCCAAATCAAGACGTATTGCTCAAATTTTGTTTTACTTGTGTTAACAGTCAAGATCGTACTACATCTAAAGACACACAAGTACTTGCCTGTGGTCTAAATAATAACAGGTACTTTTCCTTTAAGAAGGTAGGGGTAGGAATTGTAAGGGCTTGCCCATCCCCTGAGCAATCGTGTTGGTGGTCTGAAAGAATGGAAATTTGCCATCTCTGGGCAATGCACAGCACAAAGAGGAGGAGACTAGGGAAAAGGGAAATGGCCTGGTAAGAACTAGCAAAAATCCTTTGTGAAAACCACCACAGGCTCCAGTGCTTATTTGGAGAACATTAGCACAATTTTCTGGACTAGAAAACTGAGGTACTCAAGTTGGTTTCAGCTTATTGTCCAATATTTCCTGTCCTGTGGCAGCATTAAAAACTAGACCTTTGGGACGCCTGGGTGGCTCAGTTGGTTAAGCAGCTGCCTTCGGCTCAGGTCATGATCCCAGCGTCCTGGGATCGAGTCCCGCATCGGGCTCCTTGCTCATCAGGGAGCCTGCTTCTCCCTCTGCCTCTGCCTGCCATTCTATCTGCCTGTGCTTGCTCTCTCTCCCTCTCTCTCTCTGACAAATAAATAAATAAAATCTTTAAAAAAAAAAAAAAAAAACTAGACCTTTGACCTATATTTCCAACTAGAAAAAGAATTATTTGAATGTCACTCATATTTCAATGTTGTGCTGGGGGAGTAGATGTTAGGATAGTTATTTGTATTTACATTGTCATTGTGCAGCTGATTTTTCTAATTTAATACTTAGTCTTCACTCGTTTGTGTCTGACCCTCAGTCAATTAATTAGTGGTCTTTGATAGAAAAAAGAGATTCCTCTACCCTACCCTAAAGCATGCTTTCATTTGTGGTGAGAAAGTTCCTTAAACTTTCAGGTATTTAAAAAGTTGACCTTGCTTATCAATATAATTTTTTATGTAGGAGGCAGATCATTAAACCTCCTGGTTATCCTAGGGCATGGGAGTTAATTATGACTCTTACAAAATCGATGTGGTATTGCAAGACATAATGTACCTCCAAATGGTTCCTAATGGCTAAAGTTGCTGCCATTTTTAATTTATGAAATATATCAAATTGGTAAGGGTCCCCTTACCATTTTATGTTAAGTCATGCTCAAAAAGTAAAGATGGTTATATTAACCAGATGCTTTCTCATACCTAATCATTTTCCTAGTATACTATGACATTCAATGAAATAAAACTCTGTTAGGGTCTCAAGAACATGCTTTCTACTTAAGTTTTAAAACTTGGGTTGGCAGCCTTTGGTGGATGACTCACCAAACATAACTTGGCAGGCTTTGATTGTCTTTGTTTTACTGCTTACATTACCATATGTAACTAGTAATAACAAATAACAAATAATGACAAGAGACTAAAAAAGTAAATGACAAGAGACTAAAAAGGTAAATTCTAGAGAGGGTATGTGCTATGGTGAGCACTATGAATTGTGTAAGACTAATGAATCACAGACCTGTACCCCTGAAACAAATAATATATATTAATTTTAAAAAAGTAATTTGTCCAAGTTCACCGATTAGAAAGTGGCCAACGGTTAAAAACGAGGATATCAGAAAATTTTTGAATGGTATCCGTGTTTCTGAAACAGGAAGATTTCTGGAGACTCATGAATAAGATCTAAGTTGTCCACCTACATAAAGAGCAAGATGCCGGATGATCTTTCAGACTTTCTGTGACATTTTAAAGATACGATAAAAGCTGTATAGATTTAAAAAAGAAGAAGAAAGAAAGTGGCTATCACTGATTTACTATCTCTAGATTACTCTCCCTTTCTCATCTACAGGACAGTTAAAATTTTCTGAAATTTAGTGGAATTTGTAAAATTCATATTGCCATTGTGAAATTTTGAGAAAGTTAAGAAAATGAATAGTTTATTTTATAGTATAATAATTTCTCTCCCTTCTTAAGATTAGATGTAATTTTAAATAATTTTCAAAAAAGTATAGCTAATATAGAAAAATATTTGTGAACATTAACTACCTTAGTTTCATATCATAACAGAGTGGTTTGTTTAAATGGATTTGGTTTTACCACAGGTCAAATAATTGGAGATAAATTACACCATAGGAAATATAGATAACTTGTTTAAGGTAAATATCAGTTCTCATCCCTAAGGTGCATTTTTTTTTTTAAAGATTTTATTTATTTATTTATTTGACAGAGAACACAAGTAGGCAGAGAGGCAGGCAGAGAAAGAGAGGAAGGGGAGCAGGCTCCCTGCTGAGCAGGGAGCCCGATGGGGGGCTTGATCCCAGGACCCTGGGATTATGACCTAAGCCGAAGGGAGAGGCTTTAACCCACTGAGCCACCCAGGCATCCCCCTAAGGTGCATTTTTAACACATTTCTGTTGTTTACTTAATTCGTCCATTCCTTACATTTAAGTTCTTACAAGTGTCTATATCTCACTTCATAGACATCTTCAATAGACATGTTAGTTTGAATCATTGAATGACAGAAAATGCAGAGCTAGCTTTAGCCCTTAAGCAGTCCTACCAATGTGTAATGGAACGGAAACAACACATTAAACACTCGCATTTCAATAAAACTCAAGATCTAAATATTTTCAGCTTAATAACCAATTCAGATTATAATATGGTCACTGCATTGGAAGTATCATGATGCAGTAAGAAAGCTAGATTACTATTGCGTGTATAAATATTTTCTTTTTTTTTTTTTTTAAAGATTTTATTTAATTACTTGTCAGAGAGAGAGAGGGAGAGAGAGCAAGCACAGGCAGACAGAATGGCAGGCAGAGGCAGAGGGAGAAGCAGGCTCCCTGATGAGCAAGGAGCCCGATGTGGGACTCGATCCCAGAACGCTGGGATCATGACCTGAGCCGAAGGCAGCTGCTTAACCAACTGAGCCACCCAGGCGTCCCGCGTGTATAAATATTTTCTAATCACATTTCCTTCTGTTCTCATATAATTTAGTGTCTTCTTTTTTTCTAGTGTATGTTATGATAGCAATCTTCTGCATAGCATCAGCAATGAGTCTGTACAACTGTCTAGCTGCACTCGTTCGTAAGATACCGTGTGGACGATGCACGTATGTATCTCTTACAAGGAATCCTGTAATGTTGGTATTTGTAATTTAAAACAATACAGGGAAAAGTAGGAGTGGTATTTTAACTCTGTGTAAGCCAACATACATGTGGCTATTAAAATTTAAATTAACTAAAATTAAATAAATTTTAAAATTCAGTTCCTCACTCTCATTAGCTACATTTCAAATGCTAACTAACCACATGCAGCTACTACTGGCTACTGTACTGGGCAGCACAGATATCAGACATTTTCATCATGGACAGTTCTGTTGAATTAATGAATATTTTGGATGTAACATTTGTTGTACTTAAATTTAGGGCTTTTAAACCGATATTTTAGTAGCTTTCTTGTGACTGTGGTTAACATTTGTCATTTCTCATGTTTAAGTGAACATTGTTATTTCATCTGCAGAGTAGACTAACCTATTTCTGTCTATTTTTTTAGGATTATATTTCGCAGCAAAAGCATTGAAGTGCGACTTATTTTTCTCTCTGGACTATGCATAGCAGTGGCTGTTGTTTGGGCTGTATTTAGAAATGAAGATAGGTATGAGTGCTCAGTGCATTTGCTTTTAGAGTAAGGATGCATGATTTTGTGTCTTGCTTGGTAGTTATGCATTATGATTATTATGGATTTTTTTTTTTTTTTGCTTTTATTCCAGAACACCATAGTCTTGAAATAAGCTAAATAAGACTCATAAGCAGATCTTGTGCTAATGGGTTCAAGGTCATATAGATAAGAAAATATGTACTATGGTTTAAATATCTAAGCCTATTTTGAAATAGGCTTCAAAATATACTTACAATGATATCCCACAATGAAGTACAATGCGGCTATAAAGGATGAAGAATATCTCTAAACTGATATGCGGTGATTTCCAGGATGTATTTTTAAGTGAAAAAAGAATATATAGAGTATGCTACCTTTTCTGTAAGAGAGGAAAAATAATATACAAATATCTGTCCATTTGCAGGAAGGATGACCAGAAAAAGATCTTAACTTTTTAATGGTTTATTAATAAAATTACTAAAGCCCAAAGCCACTTGTAGCCTAAAATTTGGAAGCAAGGATTTACAATTTAAGGTGGCTTCAGTTGATAATTATACGTATCAGTTCCTGGTAGATTATGTTACGTAGTTCTCATTTCCTTTAGATTCCAGCTATCTGGACATACGTGAACACCAGTATCTTTTGTTATGAGCTGCCTTTCTAAAAGAAACATGTATATGTTCAAAGATTAAAGATAAGATGTATGTTCTGGGGTAGCCTTTCAGTTTTTCCTTAGTTATAGTAGTAGTCATTATTCTACTAGGACAGCAAATTAATATGGAATATATGACAGGTTTTTTGTCATTATAATTGTTGCTTAATCAAATAGTCAAATCATAACAACTGAATGATACTTTAATGATCTATTTCTTTTGAAAAGTCCCATCTAAGCATAACTACATAAACCAGTAGAGTATTCTTTTGATTTTAGGTGGGCTTGGATTTTACAGGATATCTTGGGGATCGCTTTCTGTCTGAATTTAATTAAAACACTGAAGTTACCCAACTTCAAGGTAAAGTGTACTGCTTTGCAAGCTAAAATAATTTTTTCTTTTTCTTTTTCCTTTTTTTTAAAAAAATATTTTTATTTATTTATTTGACAGAGAGAGACACAGCGAGAGAGGGAACACAAGCAGGGGGAGTGGGAGAGGGAGAAGCAGGTGTCCTGCTGAACAGGGACCCTGATGTGGGGCTTGATCCCAGGACTCAGGAACCATGACCTGAGCCAAAGGCAGACACCTAACCCCTGAGCTGCCCAGGCGCCCCAGTAATTTTTTCTTTTTAAAACAACTTTATTCAAGTATAATTTACATGTGGCAAAATGCACCCATCTTAAGTGTACAGTTTATTGAAGCTGTACAAATGAATAACTTTGTAGCCACCATCCCAATCAATTATAGAAGATTTCTCATCTCTTTGAAAGCTCTGTACTGTCCTTTTGTAGTCAATACTAATCACCAGCTGTAGCAAACTATTGGTTTGCTAGCTAAAATATTTTTAATTATTTCTATAATATGCCAAATTCATAAAATCCTTACAAAATATCAACAAAGAACATTTCTTTGATTTAGTGATTCTTTTTTTTTTAAAGAATGGGTTAAAGAAGATAAAATTTTTAATGTGATTTCTAGAATAAAACTACAAGTAGTAATAATTGTTAAATGCCTTAAAAAAACAGTGTTCAAATGAAATTTCATTATGTTTATTTGTATTTGCAAAACCATATAATTTCTTCATTTATAGGGAAGTTTGACCTTTAAATTTTTTCTTTTTTTTCAACAGTCATGTGTGATACTTTTAGGTCTTCTCCTCCTCTATGATGTGTTTTTTGTTTTCATAACACCATTCATCACAAAGGTATGATATTTTTGAAATCCGTGAGAAACATGTTATAAGAAGAGAATCTTAAACCTGTTCTTAGATAACTGATTTTGCAGATGTTTACCATTGAGTATGTGCTAATTCTCTTTTGAAAATGGTCATTGGAGTTGGCCTTTTTTTTTTTTTCTAATTATTTTAATACCATATAATGTATTATTTGCCCCGGGGGTATGGGTCTGTGATTCATCGGGCTTACACATTTCACAGCACTCCCCGTAGCCCATACCCTTCCCAGTGTCCATAACCCAACCACCCTATCCCTACCTCCTCACCCCCCCATGAAGTTGGCCTTCTAATAGATGATTTTTTTAAGCTTTTAATTCATTCTGCTAAATGAAAAATGTCTCCTGGCTGATCATAAGACTATAAATTTTCTTCCTATCCATTTTAAAGTAACTTTTCTTGTTATAAAACAATCAATGTTTACTGTAGACAATATGAACAACAAAAAGAAGGAAAGTGCATCATTGATGCTTTCATTTCTGTACCCCAAGTTTGAGACTAAGAAAGAGCTCCATATTGGAAGTCTGATGGCATGAAGTGTAGCTCTGTAACTGCTACCCTGGCAAGTCACTCACTTTGTGCTTCCGGTTCCTAATCCATTGTGTGAGGGAGTATTGCTAGCATTCCAGCTTCCCTCTGCCATCAGTAGAATTCTTCCGGTCGGAACTGACAGAACCTGATCTAACCTTTCCAGACCGCAAAGGCCCTTCTATCCAACCTGTGTATAGAAGCCAAGGTGGAGCTGGCCTCAGAAGAAACTAGACGTAGGGGCACATACTCTCCCTTTCCACTTCTGTCCATTTTGTTCTTTGTCCCAGACTGGCTTTTTCTATGAAGTTAGAGTAATAGCAGCTGACAGCTCCTTGTTCACCTGTCCCCCACCCCTGCCATTAGCTCTTCCATAAAATAGTGATGCTGTTCCCAGAGTAAGGGAGAGGTGTTGGGTGAGTGTGGTCATCCTTCATTATTTGCCCAGCTTTTCTACTTGTCCCTATTTCTATCTCCTGAGTATTTTATTTTATTGCTCAGTTCCCCTGCTTTCCCCATTTTATGTTGAGTCTTACTTTGACTCAGTATTTGCTGTTATAATCACTGCATTTTTCCCCCATTAGTTCTTTATCTTTTCTTTAGCCCCTACCATTTGTGAAAGAAATCACTGTAAAACTGCACTTCTAATATTTGCTATAAGGGCATAAACATGTGGCACTAAGATGTGCCCCACTGGGGAGCTAAAATGCAAGTGGGAGTTAATGTAGTTAACTATCCCATATTACAGCTAACCAGACCATTTTACTAGCATCTTTCTGTGCCTTAATGATGAGCCATTTGAGTCACTGACTTTGTTGAGCAAAAGTAACCTTTTTAAAGCATAAAATTAATATTATAGATTATAACAAAAAATGTCAGTTAATGAAATCTTTCTATCTAAAGCCATCCCAGTTTGTATCAGTTTATTTAGTTTAAAAAAAAAATGTTTCTGTAAGTCACTCCAGGGGGTCCCAGAATGAAAGTAAAACATTCTGTGTACAAAATCATTCTCTAAGTCAGCACATAGTCATAGCATATGGCCCATATAGTACACGGGGGCTATAGGTATGAACTGTATCTAAATCCTTTAAAAAATTTTTTCCATTTAGTGTTTTTTTGTTTATTTGTTGTTTGTTTTTTAGTGGGAGAGAGGTCAGGAAAAGGACAAAGGGAGAGGGAGAGCAAGAATCTTAAGCAGGCTCCATGCCCAGCGCAGTGTAGAGATCATGACCTGAGCCAAAATCAAGTCAAATGGTTAACTGACTAAGCTACCCCCGCACCCCTCCATTCAGTTTTAACCTAGTGTCACTTTGTAAATGTTAATTGTCTGCTAAAAAATATTTACAATCCCTACACATAAAAAGTTGCAGAATTTTAAAGATACAGGATAATAGTAAAGATGTCTTTGAGGCTCTTTGTTATCTGCCTAGAGAATTTTTCATCTTTTTTTCCATATTTGTTCCCAGTGACTAATCTGATCTGGTAGAAAAGATTAGAAGGACTCTTTAGAGTTCACAATTCAGCTGAGGTTAATGTTTCGATTGGGGCATAAAAAGCTGGCAGGGCTGAAACCGGATAGGAGACAGGGTAGAGAAACTTCTCAGGTTCTTTAGAGCTAGGTCTTTTCAAGTTTGGCTTCATTCTTATAATGGTGAGTAGCTAGATCAAAGGTATCTTCATTTAAATAAAGTTACCAATATTTATTACAAATCTAAATACAAAAGATTTTAGTATTGTGTCTCTATTCATTGTTATTGCTAAAAATGACACATAGTACATGGCATCATGTAACTATAAGCACTTAAAATTTATAGTCTATTAAAAATGCTAGCTGTTGGGACGCCTGGGTGGCTCAGTTGGTTAAGCAGCTGCCTTTGGCTCAGGTCATGATCCCGGCGTCCTGGGATCGAGTCCCACATCGGGCTCCTTGTTCTGTGGGGAGCCTGCTTCTCCCTCTGCCTCTGCCTGCCACTCTGTCTACCTGTGCTCTCTCTCTCTCTCTCTTAAAAAAAAAAAAAAAATGCTAGCTGTTAGTTCTCAGTATAAATCTGCCCAAAGCTTCAGTTGAATAATCTGCTTTTGGTTTATCTGCTAGTTGGTGATCATTGTTGACCTGTAATAGAATGGACCAAAGTGCTTGGTGAATTTTTAGATGGCTCCAATTTTCATTAGACTTTTTAAGGAACACTGTCTACAGCCCATTTTTCACCAGTTTTCTGTAGGCCGTTAGCCAAGGGATCAAATCATTCTTAAATACTGATAGATTGTTCTCTTTAAATGATTGGACAATTTCTTTCATCTTCCTCCTGAATTTTAGAATGGCGAGAGTATCATGGTTGAACTTGCAGCTGGACCTTTTGGAAACAATGAAAAGGTAGGGATGGCAATTAAATAGAAATGGCTGTCAGTGTATATATGTGTGTCCAGTTAATAATTTTGCCTTTCTGTGTAATCCATTGGTCATGTAGTGCATGTTAAGGTATTGTAAAACTTTATTTCTCAGAAAATATAGCCCTTTTCTTAGTTATTCTAAATTATTAAACACCTATTGACTTGGGTTTCATCCTAGAATGATGGAAACTTGGTGGAAGCCACTGCTCAACCCTCAGCTCCCCATGAGAAAGTAAGGATTGTATTTCAGATATGTTCATTGGACTTTAAATCATACCCTCTGAGACAAGACTCTTCTTTGGGGGAAAAAAATCCAGATTTTAAAGAAAAAAAAAAATCTGTTTCAAGGCCAGAGTCCTATTTTTGGTAAAAAGAAAAAAAAAAAAAAAAAGGTTAGATGTGGGGATACTGGACTAATACTGTTAACCCTCATGTGTTTTGGGTTTCATTTTTCCAAAACTGTATCTATTTCTTTCAAGCTTTCTGTGCATTCAGAGTATATATGTGTGTAGCTTAGGTTCTCTGATTTCAAGTTCTTCTAAAATGTCTATTTAAAAATGTTAAAACAATTACTCTCATATCAATCCTTCCCTTTCTAAGAGATGTGGGTAAAGATTCGTAAGAGGTTTATTAGTGCCTTTTTTTTTCCCCCATAATTACAGTTACCAGTAGTCATCAGGGTACCAAAGCTGGCCTATTTCTCAGTAATGAGTGTGTGCCTCATGCCAGTTTCAATACTGGGTTTTGGAGACATTATTGTACCAGGTAAGCAGTTGTTTGTAACAATTCAGTAAGAATATACTGACGGTTTAAAATTGCCAAATGTGGGGCGCCTGGGTGGCTCATTCATTAAGCATCTGCCTTCGGCTCAGTTCATGATCCCAGGGTCCCAGGATCGAGCCTCGCATTGGGCTCCCTGCTTGGCAGGGAGTCTCCTTCTCCCTCTCCCACTCCCCCAGCTTGTATTCCCTATCTCACTGTCTCTCTCTCTGTCAAATAAATAAAATATTTTAAAATAAATAAATAAATAAAAATTGCCAAATATTTAGTATCTATTAAAAGTTACCTATTCTGTTATTAAGTATTTGTGGCTATTGCTAGAGCTTGGATCAGTGAAGAAAACAGAAAAAAAAAAAGCATTTCAAGGGGTAGAAGATAAAGCCCAAATCTCCCATGGCTCAAAAAATGTCTTAGAGGAAGTACCTAGGATCAGTTTGACCTACTTGCCCAAGAAAGTATATAACAAAACTCTTTAAAAGTTGAATTTAAGGGGCACCTGGATGGCTCAGTGGGTTAAGGCCTCTGCCTTCGGCTCAGGTCATGCACGATCCCAGGGTCCTAGGATGGAGCCCCGCGTCTGGCTCTCTGTTCAGCTGGGATCCTGCTTCCCTTCCTCTCTCTCTGCCTGCCTCTCTGCCTACTTGTGATCTCTGTCTGTCAAATAAATAAATCTTTTAAAAAAAAAAGTTGAGGGGCACCTGGGTGGCTCAGTGGGTTAAAGCCTCTGCCTTCAGCTCAGGTCATGATCCCAGGGTCCTGGGATCGAGCCCCACATCGGGCTCTCTGCTCAGCAGGGAGCCTGCTTCCTTCTCTCTCTGACTGCCTCTCTGCCTACTTGTAATCTCTGTCAAATAAATAAATAAAATCTTTAAAAAAAAAAAAAAAGTTGAATTTAATAATACCAAATGTATTGCACTTTCTATGACTTCTATTTTAAAAAAATAGTTACGTGTTAGGAAAAGTGGTTTATGATTACCAGGCAAGGTCATGATCAAGAGAAGAAACATAATAGAATGCAAGCTTATAGGAAATTATGATACAAAAAATAGAGCATATAGCATATCTTCTCTGACAGTTGGATTATTCTCATTGGGCTACCTATAGGATAAACTTAATCCCAGCCCAGGAATAATATAGCCTAGAAGTATTTATTAGTCTTTCTTAATCAGCCAAGAGTTTGTCCTTTACTTTTCTTATAGTCTCTCTGTACTAACTGCCTGTGAAGGGGTAAAAAGTATGGGCTCATCTGCAAAAGCCCTTTCATTTACATAGTAAAGCCAGGCAGAGAGAGAAAAGCCAACAGCTTTGCCTTGTGAGTTGGCATGGCAAAGTCCAGTGTAGCAACTCTCTTAGTTCATTTTCTAGGATAGATCACGGGTTAGGCCACAGAGCAAATCTTAGCAAATTTAAGAAGATTGAAATTACATACCAAGTATGTTTTCTGACCACAATGGTATGACACTAGAAATCAATAACAGGAAGAAAACTGGAAAATTCACAAATACATAGAAATTAAATAAAATAGTTTTGAACAACCAGTGCATCAAAGAAAAAATTAAAATAGAAATTTAAAAATATTTTGACAAAAATGAAAAGAAACAATATCCAAACACTTACAGGATGCAATAAAAGGAGTTCCAAGAGGGACGTTTATAGTGATAAGCACATACATCAAGAAAATAGAAAAGCAGAGAAGCACCCTAACTTTATATGTAAGGAACTGGAAAAGGAAGAACAAACTAAGCCCAAAGTTAGCAGAAAGAGGGAAATAGGATTCAGCAGAAATAGAGAACAGGAAAACAGTAGAAAAGATGAATAAAAACAAGTAGAAACGATGAATAAAACCAAGAGTTGGTTATTTTATTTTATATATAGATTTTTAAAAATTTATTTGAGAGAGAAAGCGAGAGAGAACACAGGAGGAGAGGGGGGAAAGAGCAGAGAGAGAGGGAGAAGCAGACGCCCTGCTGAGCAGGGAGCTAACTTGATCCCAGGACTCTGGGATCATGACCTGAGTTGAAGGGAGATGCTTAACCGACTGAGCCCCCCAGGTGCCCCAGAGTTGTTTTTTAAAAAGATAAACAAGGGGCACCTGGTTGGCTCAGTCATCAGGCGTCTGCTTTTGGCTCAGGTCAGATCTCGGGGTCCTGGGATCTAGCCCTGCATTGGACTCCCTGCTTAGCGGGAGGCCTGCTTCTCCCTCTCCTACTTCCCCTGCCTGTGTTCTCTCTCTCGCTTGTCTCTCTCTGTCAAATAAATAAAATCCTTTTAAAAATAATAATAAATAGGGACGCCTGGGTGGCTCAGTTGGTTAAGCGTCTGCTTTTGGCTCAGGTCATGATCCCAGAGTCCTGGGATCGAGTCCCAAATGGGGCTCCTTGCTCAGCTAGAGCCTGCCTCTCCTTCTGCCCCTCCCCTTGCTCATGCTCATGTGTGCTTTTGCGCTCTCTCTCTTTCTCAAGGAAATTAATAAATAAAATCTTTAAAGAAATAAAGACATAAACAAAAATGACAAACCTTCAACTAGACTAACCAAGAAAAAAGAGCACCCAAATTGATCAAATCATAAATGAAAGAGGAGATATAACCACAGAAATATAAAAAATTTTCTCCATGTCATGCAATATTAAGCAGCTAAAAAAAAATCATGCCTTTAAACATTGTTTAATGGTTTGGGAAAATGTTTAGAAATGGCATTAAGTTAAAAAAAATTATATAAAATTTTGTCCAGATTTTGAGGTACCTTAATGTTCTCACGGTGTGAAAATGAGTGTTAAATACAAGGCAGCATGTATTGTTGCCATAGTTAATAGTTGAATTTGCATTGCTGTTACTGTTTTAAGAAAATAATGTGTTTGGTGGGTTTGGGGTTTTTTTTAGGCCTCTTGGTTGCATATTGTAGAAGATTTGATGTTCAGACTGGTTCTTCTTCTATATACTATGTTTCCTCCACAATCGGTAAATTTTTGTTTTGTCTTCCTATTATGTTGTACTGTCTGTAGGAAAAGGTTGAGGTCTAAAAGTATGGAGTCCTGGACTCTGATTCTTCAGCGTTAATTAATAAGTTTTCCCATCAAAAAGGAATAATACTTTACTACCTATATCATAAGGTTTTGAGGTTTAAAAAATTATATGTGAAAGAAAATAATTAGATTTTCTATCTTAAATGCTTATTAGAGCATCTGGCACATGACTAGTCAATAAATTATATAATATTAGATTTTCTTAAAATACTATATGATTGACAATGTATTTATATAAATGAATATATGACACAATAACATCTCACCTGGGAAAGCAGAAATAATTGTCATTTATCCCTCTATTTCTCTTATTGAGAATAGGAAGCAAGCCAAAAAATACTTCTAAACATATCAAACAGATATCTCAAAGTCCATACCAGAATTCTTTACTCTTAGGTAAGTGGCCTGCCTCAGAGCCATTTAGATACTGTTCTGGCAAAGTTTTCAATTCCACAGTGGAGTAAAATGCAGTAAATTAAAAGTGTATGCTAGTAGGAGAGAAGGTTATTACTAGGAATAGGAACGTGACAGCAAGAAAGAACAGCTAAGTGAATGAAAAGCTGATAAAAAGAAAAAAAAACTATAAGGAAATAAGAAAAGCAGTTCAAGGCTACTGAGAATGGTATTATCAGAGGGCATGGATGTATTAAAGTCCAGCACCAGTCAGTGTGATAGAATACAAGAACACTCAGTGCAAAGGCAGGTTAAGAGGGCTCTCTCTGTCCATTGCGCTGTATAACTTCGGCAGTTCACTTAACTTCCCTGGTCCTCCATTGCCTTGCCCGTCCTTAAAATCAGGAGGTAAACTGAGCTGTCTATAAAGGCTCTGTTAGCTCCAGTATTCTGAGATCCTGTGTTCATGGTGAGACGCTGAGTCATTAAGGAGAGATCAGATGATGTTTTGTGTGCCCTTGTTGAAGAAGTCCAGGAAGTATATAATCAGAATGAAGATTTTCCAAAGCAAATTTTAGTACCTACAGGTACAAATTTTAGTTACCTAAAATGTGCAACAAACAACTCAGCATCCTTAATGGTGACCGTTAATGGAGATTTCTTGAATTATTGTCTTTGTCAACGATTAATGATTCGAGTAATTACAATTGAAACACTAACCAGTTTCCAAACTTTCAAAAGCAATGAGGTATGTCTCTGCTAATGGCTGTCTAGGAAGATAACAAAATGAGGGGAAAAGTCATAGGGCAAAAATTGTGCTCAGAAATATTTGAAACCACCACTTCAGTAAAGGAGTCAGAATCCACTTTGGTAGCTGTAGGTCTAAAGTCAACTGCCGCCCCTCTGCTCCCATTCTCTTGAAGCTGACTTGTTTGTGCCTCATTCTTCCGTGTGCCATTGGAAAGTGGCAAGTGGTCTTTGGAAAGCAGCAGGTAACATGTAGAAATGACTGATAATTGGTGTTCTTCTTACAGCCTATGCTGTTGGCATGATACTCACATTTGTTGTTCTGGTGCTGATGAAGAAGGGGCAGCCTGCCCTCCTCTATTTAGTTCCTTGCACACTTGTTACTGCCTCAGTTGTTGCCTGGAGACGTAAGGAAATGAAAAAGTTCTGGAAAGGTAGCAGCTATCAGGTATGTGCTTCTATCTCAGTTACCAAGCTATGACATAATTCACTGACTAACTTCAGCTGGGACCCACCTATATCTATCACAGCTTTTATGTGCCCCAGAGTTTCCTTGGATCTGTCAGGATGTCCCAGGTTTTTTCTACCATTACCACCTCACTGTCCACCAGCTGCTCAGCAGTTCTCATCCCTGCGGTGGTCTGATGCCAAAACCCTAGTGGCTCAAGCCAAAGCTACCAAGAAGCAGTGGGAGGGCATCAGGGAAAACCAGAATAGCATTTCAACATGAGTTTTCAAATCCACACACAAATAGATTTCACGAAAAATAATACTGTATCAAGTCTGAGAGACTGACGTTAGTTCTGTATAATAAGAGTCCTGAGGTTTTGCAGGTAAAAAGCATGTACTCTCGGGGCGCCTGGGTGGCTCAGTGGGTTGAGGCCTCTGCCTTCGGCTCAGATCATGGTGCTGGGATCCTGGGATCAAGCCCCGTGTCAGGCTCTCTGCTCAGCGGGGAGCCTGCTTCCCCTCCCCTGTCTCTCTGCCTACTTCTGATCTCTCTGTCAAATAAATAAATAAAATCTTTAAAAAAAAAAAAAAAAAAACATGCACTCTCTACAGCACCTAAATGGGTCTACCTAAATTAAATAGGGTACCCGTTTCAGATTTAAATGGATCAAGACCAACTTCCCTGGAACAGAGAAAATCGTGATAGCAGAATCTGTGGTGTTTGAGTTTTTTCTTCATTGAAGTTAAAACCCTTTCTTTTCCTGAATGTTCTTGATATTCCAGTTAAATTTGTTTCCATTGAAATTAAAGAGCGTTGGGAAACTCCAGCCTGTTAAAGGTCAGGGCTGTGGCATCGATCCCTTCATGAGGCAGTTAGCTCTGCTTTGCCCTATTACAACAAACTACCTTCCTCCATCTGCCCTCGTACATGCATGTTAGTGGTCACATGAACAAAAACAGAAGTACTTTGGGTGGATGCCTGCAATTCTGTTAGTAGATAAGCAGTTCAAAGTTCACATCCACCTTGTGGTTGGTCTGTAGCATCATCTTTATTTAACAAGAGATGATTCACATACAAAGTTAGACTCCTATGTTTGGAAGAAGCACTGTCTAGAATTCTTTTGGGTAAATCTTGTAATTCCTTTGAAATTTGGTTAAAATAATAATACCTGCTCTGTCTACCTCACAGTGTCATTGTCTCAACTTACATTTGTGCACAAAGAATTATGGCCACAAGGCTTTTTTTTTTTTTTTACCACAAGGCTCTTAACTAAACGAGTAAGATAGCTCATAACTTTTACATGAAAAGGACACCCACGTAGAGTTTTTTATTTATTTTAGATTTTTAAAAATTAAAGTGTGTTCTACAACACACCTTTGAAAGTCACATCCCAAAAAGTACTCTTCACAGTCATTTTCTTAAAATAGTGTTATATTTCTTCATTTAGCAAATGTTAGTTAAGCAGTTCTGTGAGCCAGGTGCTATTTTAGGTGCTGTTGATAAAAGATGTTGATAAAAGGCTTACTCTCGTGGCCTCTTGAAAGTTAGAGGTGAGTGGAGGATGCAGATAGTCACTGACAAAGTGTGATAAATGTATTTATTAGTTATGGTAGGGTGCCATGAAAGCTAGCAATAGGACACCCAGTGCTTGTCATTTTGTGACAGTCAAAGGTGATTTAGGGAAGACTGCTTTTTTTTTTTTTTTTTAAGATTTTTATTTATTTGAGGGGCGCCTGGGTGGCTCAGTGGGTTAAACCTCTGCCTTCAGCTCAGGTCATGATCTCGGGGTCCTGGGATCAAGCCCCGCATCGAGCTCTCTGCTTTGTGGGGAGCCTGCTTTCCCCTGCCTCTCTGCCTACTTGTGAGCTCTCTCTCTCTCTGTCAAATAAATAAATAAAATCTTTACCAAAAATAAAAAACAAAAAACTTTAAAAAAAAAAAAAGATTTTTATTTATTTGAGAGAGAAATGAATGGGAGGAGGGGCAGAGGTGGAAGCAGAAGGAGACTTCCTACTGAGCCAGAATCCTGACCTGACACTTAACAGACACTTAACTAACTGAGCCACCCAGGCACCCCTTAGGCAAGGCTTCGTAAAGAATGTTAAATTTATGTTGAAACTTTAAGACTGAGCCATGTGTTCCATATGGAGGGAACCATGTCTTAAAATGCTCAGAGGGAAGAGATCATGGCACATCTAAGAACTAAATGAAGTTTAGGATGACTATAATGTTGAGTAACAGCAGGAAATGAAAACTGGAGAAGGATACTAAATAAAGCAATTGATGGTAAGAAAATTCATTTTAAAATATCTGAAAAGTTAAGACAACTTTAGTTATACACTTCTCACTTTTGTAGTGTGGTCTCATAATTTTATTAGGTAAAGACATTCAAAATATAAAATAACACATTGTAATAAAAAGTGTGCAGTCTGGTACCAGACTGCCTAAGTTTAAGTCTTGTTTTGTTAATTATTAGCCACATAACCTTAGGCAAGTTACTAGCTTCTTGGTGCCTCAGTTTCCTTTAATGTAAAAAGGAATAATCATCATCCTACTTCAGAGGGTTGTTGTATAAAATATGCAAATTGCTTAGAATAGTGCGTGGCACATCGTAAACACTGTGCATTTGGTATTATTTATAGGAATCAGGGTTTTTTGTTTTGGTTTATTTGTTGGCTTGGTTGTTATTTTTCAGTTCATTAACTAGGTTTCCATTTTCCCAGTTTGAATATTAAAACTTAAGGTCTTTGTTAGATCTGATTCTTTTAACTTATTTGCAGAAAGATTTGATAGCCATCACAAGCCTCAGGGGGAAAAAATCTGTTAAATGCAGCCATTTTCCCACTGTACACTAGATTTTTTTAAAACATGAAGAACAGACACATGCTGAAATTTAAGGCAAGTTAGTTGTAGAAAATTATAAACTACTGCCAGAAGAGAATTTTTTTTAAAGAAAATTAGCATTTTCAGAAGTCATAGACTGTAATGCCTTTACAAAATTATTCCCCTGTTACTGTGAAAAAGGAAATCTCATTGCTTCTGTCCAATCTTTAAAGTCAAAAAAATCAATTTAGCTTTAATGTTGCCATTTGTGGGAGATAGTATCTTTTAGGCTTTGGAATCCATTCTGGCAAGTCACTTGGTTTGTTAAGACTCTGTCTCCTCGGGCGCCTGGGTGGCTCAGTGGGTTAAGCCTCTGCCTTTGGCTCAGGTTATGATCCCAGAGTCCTGGAATCGAGTCTCGCATCAGGCTCTCTGCTTGGCAGGGAGCCTGCTTCCTCCTTTCTCTCTCTCTCTCTCTCTCTCTCTCTCTCTCTCTCACTCTGCCTACTTGTGATCTCTCTCTGTCAAATAAAAAAGTAAAATCTTTAAAAAAAAAAATGACTGTCTCCTCATCCATAAAATGAGGTTGGATCTATAGGCAGTTAGGAGAATCTGTAATTCATAGTGGTGGGTTACCACAGGGCTTGGTAGGGCAGGGGGATGAGATCAGGTAAGTCTAGTAAGTCTAGGCTGAGGCTTTGAAAGTATAACTTGGAACCTCAACAAGTGTGGTAAAGGAGAGGGAGACTAGGTATCAATCCAGTGTAAGGGCAGCCTGAAGATCAGCCCTGGAGTCTGGCCTCAGGCAATCGTTCATCTCATCTCTCAGGGTAAGGTGTCATAACTTCCCTCCTCTCCCCTGCCTCCATTATGTTCATAGTATTGCCAGACTGTTTCCAAAATATGCCTTATATTATTCCCAACTCAGAAATTTCCTTCTCCAAGCAGATATCCAAGAGTTCTTCAGTTGAAATTAGGTTCACCTTTCCCCATATTTTTTATGGACTTTGCTTTTTTTTTTTTTTTTAAAGGATTTTATTTTTATTTATTTGTCAGAGAGAGAGAGAGGAGAGAGAGAGCGCACGCACAGGCAGGCAGAGTGGCAGGCAGAGGCAGAGGGAGAAGCAGGCTCCCCGCCAAGCAAGGAGCCCCATGTGGGACTTGATCCTAGGACACTGGGATCATGACCCGAGCGGAAGGCAGCCGCTTAACTGACTGAGCCACCCAGGCACCCCTGGACTTTGTACTTTTTTTTTTAGCTTTTATTTATTTATTTGACAGAGAGAGAGAGAGATCACAAGTAGGCAGAGAGGCAGGCAGAGAGAGGGGAGAAGCAGGCTCCCCGCCGAGCAGAGCGCCCGATGCGGGGCTCGATCTCAAGACCCTGAGATCATGACCCGAGCGGAAGGCAGAGGCTCAACCCACTGAGCCACCCAGGCGCCCCTGGACTTTGTACTTTTAATACTTACTAACATCTGCCTTGTATTGTAGACATTTATGTGTGCCTCCCTCAGTAAGCTATTATCTTCCAGGTATTAGGAACCTACAGTGCTGATAAAGTGTTTTATGTACTATAAATTCTCAGTTAATGTTATGGAAATTTTTCATGCAAAGCAACTTTAATGTTTAGTCCTTAATCCACTGACCTTTAGTCACTTTTGTGTGTATGTGTATAAGCCTGTGTTTTAGCAGCCCTCATAGAATTACCAAAATTATTAACAAGGTTTGTAAAATCGAGGCCCTTTTAAAGCATTAAATCAGACTTGTGTCTTTACAGTCTTTATATATAATCTTTTTTTTTTTGCAAGTGCCAAAAGTTTTTGCTACTATTTGATAAATCAAATATAAAACAGATAATACAAAATAAAACCAGAATCTAAGATGATGGCACACTTGTTTATGCTGCTAATCATTTGGTTCATTCCAATGCCTGGTATTGGAGTGAATGCAAGAATAGTGGTAGTAAAAAGCAGGCCTTTGCACTAGACACTTTTTAAATGTCATGGTTTAGCCCTGATAGCCTTTTTATGCTTTTTTATACCCCATTTGTTGCTGAAACATAGAGACTTTGTGAAAGAACTTTAGTATTTTATTTAGTCTTTTGGCCCTTTCCATGAATTTTTCTTTTTTTTTTTTTTTTTTTAAAGATTTCATTTATTTATTTGTCAGAGAGAGAGAGAGCGAGCACAGGCAGACAGAGTGGCAGGCAGAGGCAGAGGGAGAAGCAGGCTCCCCACAGAACAAGGAGCCCGATGTGGGACTCGATCCCAGGACACTGGGATCATGACCTGAGCCGAAGGCAGCTGCTTAACCAACTGAGCCACCCAGGCGTCCCTCCATGAATTTTTCTGGTCAAAAGAAGTAATACTTCTGTAGGATTTCACTGAAATAGTACTGATTTGGAAATCCTAGTTCTATATTCTATAACTTAAAGCTACTAACACTATTACTTGCTATGAACTTTTTTTCTTGACTGCTTCAAGAGCTATGATACTCAGTTCCATATGATTCTACCCAAAGTCTTAAGTTCTGATTACTGTAGAATAAATAAAGATGTTTCTTCTCTAGAGAGAAAAGTCAAGCAGTAGCCTAATTACTTTGGCACAAAGAACAACTAGGAGACATCATCATTTTAGGGGATTTTTTTGTTTGTTTCTAATACTAAATCAGAGGAGTTAGATTTATGTAACAACCTCCAGTGGGCTATTTTACTCTGGGTAGGAAGTAAGTGTTCAGTTTGTTGATATCCAGTAAACAGTGGGTTTGTCTCTGTTAAATGTCACTAGTGCTTCTAATTATTTTTAGAAGTCACAAGCTGTAACTGACAAGTCAGAATACAGAGATACTTAGAACAACGCTGCTTTAATATCAACAACTCTCCAGTTACTCCCCTTTAATGAGAGTTTTAATAGAGTGTTTCTGGAGATTGGTCCAATTAGAAATAAGCAGAACTATCAGAAAATGCCAGGCAAGCCAACCCAGTATCAGAGGACTTCTTTCCAAACTGAGCTTGCTTATTTACAAATATTACAAAAACTATACCAATTTTATTATCTATATTAATTTTGTTAATGTTTTGTTAATGTTTTTAAAAACCTAGTCCAAGGTTGCACTTCATGTTTTTATACTGCTTTTATTGAAAAGTCAGTAAAGAAAAGTAAATACAGAGTATAGATCTTCTCAATAAGTTGATTTTGAAAGTTTTTTTTTTTTTTAACAACTACATTTACATATATGGTTAGGGATTAGATTATAGTGCCTGAGGTCCCTGAGGATTAGGAAAGAAAAATCCCTGAGGATTAGGAAAGAAAAGGCATGTGATAATTTAGGGGGTGGAAGCTGTGAATTCAGTAGGGTACAGGTGCCAGGGCAAGAGGCTTTCCCCACCATCCATTCTGCTGAGGCTGCCTCCGTTCTCTTTCCCTGCAGCTCCAACCTCTCACACCCAGAATTTCTAAACTGCTAGAAGGAAAGGGACCTAAATATATCTTACATGCTTCTCCTTGCTCTCCCTCATTTAAATGGTGACTATAATCAACTCTTCAACAACATTCATGTGTTTTGTGTGGGAAAGTGTTTGATAAATGTGTTAACTGTCTCAACTGGGTTTTTGTCTCCTCCTCCCCCCCCAAAGTGGTACAGACATGTAACTATCTTAATCTTGGGGATATGTTGGCAAATACAGGACCTCAGAATTGATTTTTTGGGGACTTGAGATGACTCATAGAGTCCTGGCAGGATTGGGCTTTATAAGCTGTGTCCGTTTTCTTAAGACAGTTGTCAACTAAAAGCCTCAGCTCTTGTGGTATTCTTGTCTGGCGAGGTCAGAGACCCCATTTGGGTATGATCCCGCTGTCTGCGTCCTTTTCCAAAAAACACTGAAGCTTTTAGAATCACTTTACAAAAATAGGAACATTTATCTTGCTGGTCTTTCTTCTAATTCTTGATAAAGAAGGGAAAATGTGCATCACAGTACTGAAAATCACTCATCTAAAAATCTTTGACAATCTTCACAAAGACATTAGGTAGGTACTTTTTCCTATTTCTAAGTAATTTTATGTGAAGAACACAATGAAAACATGTAAGCAGTTTCTTCTTCCTTCTGCCTTCATCCCAAAGGTAAAAAAATTTATATAGGCCTATGGATGAGCAGAGCTGAAGTGACTGAAAAAAGTTTAACTGGTAATTCCTCTAGAGTAGTCTATAGCAAATGTATTCTTGATTTTATTTTCAGAGAATCATTTGACCTTAAGTTCCTTCCATTTATTTGGTTTTGGTAGAAATATTTGTTACACAGTATTTCCAAAATTTCATGTATCATTCTGAAATTATTTTACAGTCAGTTCAAGGCGTCAACCAGGTTACACTGTCCCCAAACTAGCAGGTATTCTCACAATGACTTGTGGGGTCATTTTTAGTTTTTTCACCTTTAACAGTGAACAGTGAACACGGCCTGGAATCACATCCTAGAATGAGCATTGGAAATATCTTCCTTTGGTGGTAGAGTTTCCACTGCCATGAAGGGCAGTTCATATTGGGAAATAGAAATAGTGGAAGATTCAGAGAAAGCATTTATCAGATTGACCCTGAGTCAAATGATTAGGCTTTTCATGTCACCCTGACCATATCCTTAGGAACGTGGATATTAAACCAGTGCACTGCTCTAAAGAGAATGCCCAGTTCCATGGAGTGCTCCCTTGTCTCTTTAAGAGTTACTTACTTATTTATTTGAGAGAGAGCCAGCATGAATGGGAGGAGCTGGAGAGGGAGCAGCAGACTCCCCACAGAGCAGGGAGTCAGACGTGGGGCTCCATCCCAGGACCCTAGGATCATGACCTGAGCCACAGGCAGACACCTAACCCACTCGACCACCCAGGCATCCCCTCCCTGTCTTTTCTAAAAAGTGGGAATCCTTTGGCCAAATTAGTAAATATTGAGGGCAAGTTGAAATTTTGCATTTCCTGACATTTTTTATTTATGCCTAGGTGATGGACCATCTGGACTATGCAACAAATGAAGAAAACCCTGTGACTGCTGGGGAACAGATTGTTCAACAATAATATTATGTAGACCTGCAATAATGTGTCAGTTGATTTTCTACGAATAGAGTTTGACTTTTTAAATTGACTTTTGAATTGACAATCTTAATGAATCTTCAATGATATGCTTGCAAATATATATTTTTAAGAGCTGGTACTGACAATTACATCAAATAATTGAAACACATTTGCTTTTAACTGTGTTAAAATTGTGCCTTCACATTAAATAAAAGCATATGGTCTGTGTAACTTTGAAGATCTGTTATATACAGTATATTTTTCTAAAGAACTGTCTTGACCCACCCCATACTTTCTTACTGAAATGTTTCTTTCAACTCCTAGTAATAGATAAAAGTATTTCTGTCAGAGTGAGTTTCTGAACAGATTTTATTGTCAAGAATTACGCAGATTTTATGCTATAGAAATAACTGCCTAAGACCATGTTAGAAAGCAGTTCAGTGATGAAATTTTGGACCTTTTCACTGCAGAGGTTAGAAAAATATAATTGGGGAATATATATAAATGGATATTTTTGTAGCATAAGTTTTTTTTAAGTCCCAATCTTTTTTAAACTTGAAAATCTAAATTACTTTAGTCTGCCTATGTATTATATTAAAATATTTTTTAGATATAAAGAAACATAATATATAGAACTAGTCATTAAAAGGACACAGAAATTGAAATCCGCAGTTTTCAGTGGTCTGTTTTTCTTGAAGAGGTAGCTTAAATTTCTACACTAACATTCAGTTTTGTCATGGTATTCCTTATCTGTGAAATTTGGTTCTGTTGATGTTCAGGCTTGAAATTTGTAAAAAGTATTTTTCAGCTTCTTTGTTAACACATGTGGCTCATTGTGTGAGTATAGCAGCCCTAACAGTCTCTCCTCACCCCCTCAACCACCACCTTTTTTTTTTCCTAATTCCCACTCCTTCCCCTATAAGAAACCAATGTTAATCTTTTAATATTTTGATGAAGGATGGTTTAATATGCAAAGTGTGCTTCAGAGGAAAGAATTGGAGACAAATAGGAGACTGGGTTAGTCCCAATTTACTGACAATATAAGAATCTGAGTAAATTATTTTAGCTCAAAACCCTTATATCTCAATTTTCATATCTGCAAAATGAGTAAGTTAGACCAACTAATCACTCTGGTACCTTCCAACTTGAAAAATATCTCTCTCATTCTTTGCTGAATCTCAGTGTGACCTTGAATATTATCCTGGAAGACAGAGGTTGAAGTATCTTTCCACTGTCTTTTGTTTTAAGAAATTCCCAAATGATGAGTGATTTCAACAGCAGCAGGATTTTGCATTTCTCTGTAAGTAATGTACAAGATTGTGAATAAGTCTGTGATCTTTCATTCTAAGGCCATTTCAGCTGATCAAAATATAAAGCTAATGCCTTTTAAAAATGGATTTGATCTTTGATGTTTGTAGTAAACTTAATATTTGAGGGAGTTAGATGTTTAATTTTGTTTCATTAACTTTTGTTAAATAAACTATAGATAGAGAAGCTCCCTGACAGTCTGCCCCTCTTTCCTCTTAGTGTACTTATAGGTCCTTTGGTTTATGGCAAAATGACGGTAAGTATCTGTCAAGTAAGAGTTAATTTTGCCTCCATAATACCAAGTTTGGATTTTTTCCAAAGAATCTAATTTATTTGGCAGACTCTGATAGAACAGATTAAGTGCCATTTTAAAGCTCCAACTATATTTTCATTTATAATATCAATAAAATGTTTGCCAAAATACAGTTTTTTTAGTAAAATTATCTGTACTCATCCCAACTTTATGATATTTAAAAGCCTCAACCACATTTTATGAAGAATATTAAAGAAAATTTTACATCTAGAAATGTGAAATCTTAGTTCTTTGATACAGAGTCTACTTTATCCAACCATAAGTTATCAGAGGTAAAACTTTATTCTAGTTTGCTATTGAGATCTTATCGATTAAATGAAAATAAGAAACAAAAAGTGAAATTCCACAGGTTTCTCCATTCTCAGTGTCAACTTTATTTGTATTCAAAGAACACTTCTAGCAACCTAGCTGAAAATATTTTGAGAAATTACAGTAAAGTGCAGAAATATTTTGTTTTGGAAATCAAAATGAACAAAAGGTGAGGGAGTTGGAGGTTTGGCTTTAAAAGGCTGTGTCATTTCTTCCCCTCTCATCCTCCCACCACCTATAACTTGAAGGGGAAGAGAGTTGTTTTTTTCCTAAACGTGTCTTTAAAAGAGTGAGATACATAGTATTATTACTTACTGCAAAAAAAATAATTTATTACTTTTTAGAAAGTGTCAATAAATATTTTGTAGTTTATCAAACAACTAAATAATCTCAAATAGTAACATAGGTGATTTTTACTTCACTTTAGGTCAGCAAAGGTAAATACGAACTTTTTGGTGAAAAACAGATACACTCTATTTTCTTCCAGCTTGTAGATTTTTAGATTAGCAGTACCTTAGTAGAATCTGTGATTTACTTTTGAAGGAAGAGAATTTTAACCCATGCACTGTTGGCATTTATAGATTTTAGTTTCATGACCATAGAGGTTTTGGTAAAATGGTACATTTAAAGTAAATATTCAAAATGAGCTTTCCAGTTTTACTTTGCTCTTTCAATTTCTCCCATAGGTATAATCAAACATTATTTCTACATTTGACTGAAAAATACTTGAACTATTTTTATGTAAGCTTGGTTTCTAGAATTTCAACCTGATGATCTCAGCCAATGAGATTTCAAAAACACAGGAATTGCATTTCAGACTAGTGGAATGCACTAGTATGAAAGGGTTTATCTTTTCCCATTAATAAGGAAAAAAGTTGAATGATGCCAAATAACCAATTCTGCAGTTTAAAATTTTTATTTCCAGTGCTCTCTTTACCTCAGAGGACAATTCTAAAGGGGGGGTGGTTAGGATAATGTAAATAAAATCAAAATACTGAATATAAATCACTTTTTGCTTCCTAGAAGAAAGATACTCTGTAAATTCAAGTGACCTGAATCAAATTACTCAACCTTTTGGAATTGGAAAGAAATTGTTTAGTACTCACGGTTTGGGATGCTGAAATTTCAGAGTAAACAAAATGATTGATAGAGTAATGTACACGCCATTTGATCATGAACACCATGTTTATATATTTCCTTGTTTAATGTTGCCATATTTGAGGACAACTTTACATCTATAAAAGTGTTCATTGGCGGGAAAATTATTTTTAAACTAAATTTTTAGAACAGTCCTCCATTATTGCAATTGAGACAACTAAGAGAAAAAAAAATACAGAATATTTATGTCATCGTATGTTTCTTTGATTAAGCATAAAAAATATTGTAAACTTCTATTCCTTTGGAATATGGATTTTTATGATATCTAAAGTTTATCTGGTTAGTCTGCAGAATTTCCTAGTAGAACAAATCTGTGTCAAGTTTTTGCCCATTTTATACCTGTTGTATTTTGTTCTAATAAGAACCTTTTTAAAAATACATATGATTGAATTTTTACTTCTTAGAAGATGGTTTGAGTGTGGAATTTTTTTTTAACATTTTGATATGTGAGTTGGTATAAATTAATTTGTAACACTACTAGGCTTTATTTTTTTATGGAACATGATTTAAAATTTAAAATTTTTTGAAGTGTTAATTTAGCAGTGCTTTAAAACTTCATTCTGTGCCAATACTGATAAGAAAAAGTTTTTTAATGTATTGAATTCACTATGGTATTCAATAAATTATATTTTAAAATAAAATTTTAATTCGTTTTATTTTTAATGGTGAAATACAATTGGAAATGAACTTAAAAGTATACAAGATCGTGTTCACATAGAGTATAAATTGTAATAGTCTTTAGGAAATTGTGTAGTTAATTTAAGTCTGACAAATTATCATGAAACCTAGATTCCAGAAGTGTCATTTGCTGGAAATTTATACTGATATGTAATACCGCTTCCTAAGTATTTATTGAATGCATGGACTTTTTTTTAAACCAAGAACTGTTACCTGTTACAGTGAATACTCCTGGCATCTGCAGCTTTGCTGCTGTTCTCACAAATTCCTAAGACCCCTGCTGCCATTGTACTGTCCTTTTAACAAGCTTTACAGCTCCTCTTTCTCATGCAAACATGTGAGACCCAGTACCTCAAACTCACCTGGAAGCCTGGTTGAACTCCAGATTGTTAGGCTCCAGTCCCAGATTTTCTAATTCAAGTCTGGGGTGGAAGCCAACCAAAAATTTCCATTTCTCACAAGTTCCCAGGTGACATTGGTACTGCTGGCCTGGGGGCCACACCTTGAGAGCTACTGGTTTAGGGAGAAATAGAGTATAATAGTTGGATCAAGGGCCCACCATGAAGTTTGTTTTCTTTTCTTTTTTTTTTTTTTTAAAGATTTTTTATTTATTTATTTGACAGAGATCACAAGTAGGCAGAGAAGCAGGCAGAGAGAGATAGGAGGAAGCAGACTCTCTGCTGAGCAGAGAGCCCGATGCGGGGCTCAATCCCAGGACCCTGGGATCATGACCTGAGCCGAAGGCAGCGGCTTAACCCACTGAGCCACCCAGGCGCCCCAATAAGGGTCATTTTTTAGTGTAAATGTATTCCAAGTTATACTTAGAGCATACATATTATGTATATGTATATTTTTCTTGATAGCTTATTCCCAGTATGGGTCTATTTTCATCCATTATACTGATCACCCAATGAGTCCTTTCAGTCTAGTAATCTCTATCCTTCAATTTCAGAAAATATTTTTAAATTATTTCACTCATTATTACCTCCCCTTCATTTTTTTCTGTCTTTTCTTTCTGGAAGCCTTGATATTTTGATGTTATACCTCCTGTACTAATCCTCTTTGTCTTCTCTTTCCTCTCAAATATTCCACCTCTTATTTTTGCCCTGTTAATCTAGAAGATACCCTTAATATTATCTTCTAATCTTTTATTGCATTTTTCATTTCTCTTAGCATTTTTTTAATTTCCAAGAGCACTTTTTTGCTCTCTGACAGTTTTGTTTTGTTTTGTTTTGTTTTTGACAGTTTATTTTTTTATAGCATCCTATTGCAGTTTCATTGATGCTGTATATTCTCTTAACTCTGAAAATAGTAATGACAGGGCTTTTGTTTGCTTGTTATTGAAACTCATCTATAACCACTGCTTTCTTCCAGTTCCATTCTTATGTGTTGTATCTTACAAGCTTTCTTCAGAGGATAGGATATTTTCAGTTTTCTGTCAATGTTTAAGAGTGAAAAACTAAAAACCCGAT